TGAGGCTGGATCATCTCAGTGAGCAGCCTTGAAGCTGTTCTAGATACAGAACTCTGAAGAAGCTGTAACAGAGACATTTTGAGATGCTGGATTACCTAGGCCATTCATTTTTTATTGGTATCTGGTCCTCTTGTTCTGAAAATAAACTTTTTTTGTTGTTGTTTTGTTTTTTTGTTTTTTGTTTTTCGAGACAGGGTTTCTCTGTGTAGCTTTGCGCCTTTCCTGGAACTCACTTTGGAGACCAGGCTGCCCTCGAACTCACAGAGATCCGCCTGCCTCTGCCTCCCGAGTGCTGGGATTAAAGGCGTGCTCCACCACCGCCCGGCACTGAAAATAAACTTTTAAAGGTAACATACATATCTGCATTAACACAAGTATGGAATATGTGTTATACACAAGTTAGCCAAAGATGATTTTCTGTTTTATGTTTGAGCAAGTAAAATATACGTCACATGTTTTGCAGTTTTCCTAGGTTTAGTTTTTTTATGTCTGTAGCCAGGATTTTCAGAGGATCTTCCTCAATTAAACCTGATCCATATCAACCTAGAATGAATTCACAGCCTCTCATTTCCTGTGGAAATAAAGGCATAACCTCTTCCCCAAAGCAAGACACCTTTTAACTTCCATTTTGAAGTCAAGATATTTTTAAAATATATAGGCTGGTTTAATCTAGCAACCTTCATAATCCAGTGTCTCTGAGCAGCTATTGATCCTTCATAAGCAGTCAAAAAATTCAAAGACAACACAATAACATACAGGACTCAGGCTCTCTGTGTATTTCCCATCTTTATGTAGCTTATTTTCTATTACTTTATTACTTTTTAAGGACTTTATTATTTTTAAACTATTTTTAAATCTATGACTGTATATCTCTTTTTTCTTTTCTTTCCCAAGCCTGTGCATATTTTTAAACACATTGTAGCCCATTTAGATGTTCTTTCCATCTGGATCTGTATTTACTGAGCATCTGTATTTTTTTTTTATCATATGAGACAAATCTTAAATTGTTATGTCAGACACCAGTACTGCTCAACTTAGTGAATGGTGCTAACAAACGGCAGCTGGCGGCTGGCTCCATCCCACAGGCAGCTGCTGGGTGACACATCTCTGTACTGCAGCTGGCATGAGAAACACAAGACTAAGAAGCTACATTTAGCTCTGTTTTGTGTGTTTAAAACTTTTTTAGGGGCTGGAGAGATGGCTCAGAGGTTAAGAGCACCAACTGCTCTTCCAGAGGTCCTGAGTCCAATTCCCAGCAACTACATGATGGCTCACAACCATCTGTAATGAGATCTGGCGCCCTCTTCTGTATACATAATAAATAAATAAATCTTTAAAAAAAAAAAACTTTTTTAAAGCTTTCTCAGGTCTTACGTAGATGTAGGTGCCCCACACTGGAACACCATTTATAGGCAGAGTTTTTCATCATGAACGCCAGTCAGCTCTGTCCCGCCAGTCACTCCCAAATAACCACAATGAGATGTATTTTTAATTATAAATGTTCAACTGATAGCTTAGGCTTCTTACTAACTAGCTCGTAATTTAGCCCATTTCTATTAACTTATGTGCTTCTCTGAGGCTCACTTACCTCATCTACATACTGCCCATGCGGCTTGCTCTGCATCTCATGGCATCTCTCTGTGACTCCCTTAACTCCACCCTTCCTCTTCCCAGTGTTCTCTCTGCCCCCCAAATCCTGCCTAGCTATTGGACAGTCAGTTCTTTATTAGCAATGAGGGCAACACATCTTCACGGTATAGAGAAGGATTATTCCACAGATTACCCTAGGAGATTATAAAATGAAAAGCAATCTTTCTTCCTGGTTCCTTCCATCCTCCACTTCCTCTTCCATCCTTGCCCTTAAGGGCAACCCAAAACCACTTTTCAAACGTATTTTCCTTCCAACTAGCTTGTCAGTGACTTCAGGAAAGCATTCTGAAAAGCAGCAAGAAAGCTTTGTGATTAGAATTTATACACACACACACACACACACACACACACACACGCGTGTGTGTGTGTGTGTGTGTGTGTGTGTGTGTGTTGTAGGTTACCAAATGATAGGTTCTTCCAATGAGCTTTGTCCACATTAGTAAATGCTTTGACACTAGCCTTTCATTTCATAGATGAATGACTAATTCATTTGGTTATTTCTCAACAACATAAGACAACCTTCATGATTGCTAGTTGACGTAGAAGGGCTTAGCTCACTGTGGAGGTGCCATCCCTTAGGAAGGTGAGTTTGCCCAGGATAAGAAAAGGAAAGCAAAACCAAGCCGCAATGCAGCATTCCTCCATGGTTTGTGCTTCAAGCTCCTGCCTTGGATGTGACATGGAAGCACCAGGCAAATAAACCCTTCCTCCCACAGATTGGTTTGGGTCGGTGTTTAATCAAAGCAGCAGCAACAACAACAACAAAGCCAACTAATACACAAATATAATAATGTAAGTTAATTCTTCTTATCCAGATTATACAAAAGATGTCAGTTTCCAAAATTAACAACACTCGTGATATTTTATACCATCAAAGGCAGATGTTTCTTGATTAAATGAATATTTAAGGCATCCTATAGCACAATTAGTTGGATTAAAAAATAATTAAAATATAATTGTATTCTCCTAGTAAAAAGGAAATGAATACTGATTCCTAATAGAGTCTCATTTCATTTTATAATTATTAAAATAATCAATAAGATTTGGTTATGAGCCAGATGGTGGTGGTGCATGCCTTTCCCAGCATTCAGGAGGCAGAGACAGGTGGGTCTCTGTGAGTTCAATGCCAGCCTGGTCTACAGAGCAAGTTTCAGAACAGCCAGGGCTACATGGAGAAACACTGTCTCAAAAAACAAACAAACAAAAAAGATTATGTCTACAAGGCCTATAAAATTCTGATTTATAGCAGGGCTGATCTCTTTTTCTATCACTGTTCTTAGTAATAACAAAAGTGCACAGGAAAAGACAATCTTGCTAGAATTTTTTTAAAAGAACACTATATTCTCTAATTTCTCCCATGACTTTTTTTCACTTACTTTCCCAAATTGAAACCTTGTACAATACTAAGTTTTAAAATAAAGTCTTATCAAGTCAGTCCACAAATACAAATTTTGATAACTTAAATACTAAAGATTAATCTTTCGTAAGAATTTAAGTTTAAGCCAGGGTTGGTGGCACATACCTTTTCCCCAGCACCTGGAAGGCAGAGACATGTGGATCTAGATGAGTTTGAGGCCAGTCTGGTCCACACAGTGAGTTCTAGGCCAGCCAAGGATACACAGTGAGACAGTGCCCTTCCCTTAGAAAGAAAGAAAGAAAGAAAGAAAGAAAGAAAGAAAGAAAGAAAGAAAGAAAGAAAGAAAGAAAGAAAGAAAGAAAGAAAGAAGAGAAGAGAAGAAAAGAAAAGAAAAGAAAAGAAAAGAAAAGAAAAGAAAAGAAAAGAAAAGAAAAGAAAAGAAAAAAGAATTAGAGGAAGCCACTCCAATGAAGTTATAACTAAATCAAACTGGTCAAAAGAAAAACTAAAATTAAAAGGTATTTTTAATACTCTAAATATAAATGGTTTATAGAGTATAAATAATTGTAAATACAGGAGGAAACACATACTCAATCTAGAGTTTTTGCCAAACATAATATTTTTATTAATAATTTGGGCATTTCATACAATGCACCTGATCACACCTGATTCCCAATTCTCCCAGGTACATCTTACCACCCTTAAGCACCCCCCCCCAAAAAAAACACCAAGTCCAATTTGTATTTGCCCATATAGTCACTGGAGCATGATCAAACTCCCAGGGTCCAAGCCCTTAAAGAAAACTGGGTCGTCCCCCATGTCTGCCGGAAACCATCAACTGTGAAGAGCCACCTCTCAGCATCTTTATCACAGTTTTTAAAGGACTCTCTTCAATAACTTCTTGTCTGGATTTTTGGGGCGGGTTTGGGGTTGTCACAGAAGTCTTCAAAGTCTCTCATTAATCTAGTTTTAAAATATGTAGAATTTGGTTGTTTAAAATGCCTATTTCCCAGCCGGGCGGTGGTGGCGCACGCCTTTAATCCCAGCACTCGGGAGGCAGAGCCAGGCGGATCTCTGTGAGTTCGAGGCCAGCCTGGGCTACCAAGTG